TAATGTCCTAAATATACAACTATATAGAGTTACAGTTTAGGTCTGATGTATACATAGCTTTGACGAATGCCCAGTTTCATACGCGACTGTGTTCTCGTTTGGCCAGGACAAGGGTGAGAGGAGAAATTAGCCACCCGTTAGTCCTAACCTGCAATTTGAGGTTCGTATCTGAACGTAAAGCGTGTGGTGAAAATATTTGTACGCCAGGATGTTGTCAGGAAACTACAGTAGTTCAGATGAGAGATACAAACGGTCCAACCGTCCAATCAGAAGCAAGGGCACATGGGGGTGTGCCCCTCACTCCTCTGTTGTTGATGCAGGAAGCTACAGACGTGAGTGGGGTTTGATAGACACTTTTTACGCAGCAGTATTTGTTGACGGTTGGAAACTGCCCAGAAGAAAGAAAACAAATTACAGTGTTTGGTAGTTCGTCGGGGAGAATGTGTATGTGTGTTTTTGGGGGGGGGCGAGGTCGGTATAATATCCGTGTGAAGCTCAAATACAAATTTATGTTTAGTATTTGAGGTTCTCACAGCGATGAATATGAAGAGTCATATATACAAGTATATGCCGGTCACGGTAGCCGAGCGGTCTAAGGCATGCACTGTCTTCGCTCGCTCGGAAACCGAGATCGTGGGTTCGAATCCCACTCAGGGCATGGATGTTTGTGTGCGTTTTTCTGTGTTTGTCTACAGGTAGAGGCCTTGCGACGAGCTGATCACTCGCCCAAGGAGTCCTACCGTATGTGTAAGATCTAGTAAACCGAAGTNGCGCCGTCGTTACCGTGTCTCACGGTGTTGTCGCTTGCAGATTTACCTATACTTTTTCTTCAACCCTGAAGATGGGGGCGATACGTTCCTCCGAAACGTCGGTTAACACCACATATACACGGCGCCAAAGCCCAGAAGACTGCTTTCTTCATAGTCACCGCCGTGAAAGCCTCAAATCTTACAAACAAGAAACCATCATGAGCAGGGCCGAAGAGTAAGCAGGCTGTGCTTGCTGCCTGAATCACGCTGTTTACTTCTTTGACTTACTGTTATACCCTGAAGATGGAGGTAACATATTCCTCCGAAACGTCAGTTGACTTGCAGCGGACTACGCGGTATTGCATCTGAGAAGATAAAACTCTTAAAAATGTATATTTGTTTCTCAGGAATGGTTTGTCGTAAAAAGAAATATGCAGGTTACATAATATAAAATACCGTCATATCTGCAGTTTTTCATTTGAACGAATTTTGTAGTACTGCATGTAGTGCAATGCTTCTGGGCTTCACGTAGGCTTCTATCCGAAAGACATGATCATCAAAACTCTAGTGATATGTAAAATTATTACGATGACGATATTGTATCGACTTATTGCTCTTAATATATTCATCCATCGTTCTATAAATTAAACATCTTAACTTGCGAGTGTATTACATTTAATCTCTTAAGTAATTGACGTTTTTCCTGAGCCAGTCCAGTTCAGTTCATAACCTCACACCTTATTTATGTAAGGCTAACTTTACTCTTATCCCTCTATTTACGTTTGGTCTCCAGAGTGATCTCTTCCATTCAGGTCTTCCGATTAAAATTTTGTACGAATTTCTCATTTCCCCCATAAGTACATGAATTTACATAGTCTCTTCACCTTTCTTTAGGTACCGTACCTGTAACCATTGCTCTGTATAGTCCCTTTCTTCTGCACATAAATTCACAATATTCTGTGCTCAAGATGTACAGAAGTTTCTGGACCATTTGTATTGAGAAAAAGGTACATGACTACAGGTATAAAATCATTGTTCATTTCTTGATTCTGTAAGAGACATGAAACCTCATTCGTAAGTCACGTCACCAGTTGCTGCGTCTCCTACATTTACTTAGTAATTATGGACTCTTTCTGGGAAGACAAACTACATAATTCCGTGTAGGACTTGAGGTTCTCACAGCCGTCTTTATGAAGAGTACTATCGTCTGGTATACAACGCTGTGTCGTCCATTGAAAGTCAAACTACGTTTCGGAGGAACATATCATCTCCATCTTCAGGGTCGAATAAGCCAAACAAGATTACGGCGTGGAAGCAGGTGCAAGCAGACTAGTCGGTTCACAGTCAGAGTTACGTCGGTCGGTCGATCGGTCAGTCAGTCCGTCTTGGTGTCGAATCCCATCAGAGGTTTATGAACAGGTTTTAATTACTGTTTGAGATTACTGTTTTCTCGATGTAGAGCAACCCCTCTGACGAGAGGAAGGGGTCTGTCGTTTGTCAAAGTCATAGTCAGGAGTGTACTCGTAAGTTATTTATATGTATTACAGTCTGTCAATTGTCAATATGTACACGTACATTGTATTTAGTTTTAGGTGTATAACACAGTAAATGGGCAGTAGCTGGCAGAATCATGATGTGTGTGTAGAAGCATCCGTCACTCGGGGGACTCCACCCTGGCTTCTCAGATGTGGTGTGTTGTTGTTAAGGTGACACTGCAACACTATTGCGTCACTCGTAGGTAGCGCCATGTTGACTGATGTATTTGATGTGTATGTGTCCCCGTTATGGATTACTTAACTCATGGAGCTGAGCCCTTCTTGAGGAGCAGCCAAGTCTGCAGCTACCCAAGAATTTCCCAGCATTTTATGGAACCCGAAGGTTCATTACCGTGTTCACAAGAGCCCTTGTCCCCGTTATAGATACTGCGGATAATTTTTGCAGCTTCTTCATAGTGCTTGTGGCCGCATAGCCCCATGCAGGATCTCCATACAGTAGAATGGGTCGGATTAGTGATTTGTATAGATGAGTTTTTATTTTCCTGTTAATTGTGCGATATTTAAAGATGGGGTAGAGCGCAACAAAGCGTTTCACTGCTTTGTTTTCCACAACTTTAATGTGTGCTTTCCATGTCAATCTTCTTTCGAAGATTTTCCTTCTGTCAACCATGTAAAATCTTGTTCGAATAGTTTTAGCGTGTTTCTGGACACTTTCTTCTTTTTGTGAGCATCATTGCAGCTGAAATTTTGTGATCCTTACATATGTCCAGATATTCGATCATGTGATCCAATACGTTACGTATAATAGTAGAACCGTCTGGTTGCGTCTCAAAATATCCTGGACATGAGGCCATTTTAAAGATGAATTCGAAGTTGTTTAATGTTTGATGTATACACTGACACAGAAAGTCCATAGAAATTTCGACCTTGAAGTAGTATATCACCAGAAATAAACGCATGCAGGCATCTCTAGAGCAATATAACCGAGTAAGTAAAGCACTATGAATGCAGAATTACGGAAATATTGACAGAAACCACAGAAGTCTGCGTCTCCTCTGCCGATAGCAAGAACCAGTGTTTTATGTGGTGATGGTCACATAAAATCTTCGGCTATAAATCATTGTGAAAACCATTATGGATAGCAAAGATGTCTGTCCTGGAATAAATCGTGACAGTTCAAGAATATGTTATGTGCTATTGGAAAGGCGCTGCTGTCTTAAACATTCTGGCGTTGTACGTTTTAAACAGTGATTCCAATAAAGTGCGAAAAGAAATTATCCGAAATGTCGAATGTATGAACTTTCTGTGTGGTACTGTAACTAGTCAGCGATGATAGCAGCTGTGAAACATGCATTTTTTGTGTGTGTGTGCAGCAAATGCAGTTAGAAAATTTGTACAATTTTGTCGAAAATTACACTGTGCAGAGTCCGTCCTCTTGCATTTCGTTAAATACATATCACATTGAAATATGTTACAAATTAAAGTCATAGATTAAGTGGGCTCTTATTTTTTCACGTCCTAATTTGCTGTCTGATGAGTAGTTCTGGGGCAATTATAAAGTTCGAAGCCGACTTTGTCACGTGGATTGAGGAAAGAACATGGAATGAAGGAGTTTGAGAACAGGGTACTTAAAGAGGATATGTGGACCTAACAGCGATCAAGTAACGGGAGGCTGGAGAAAGTTACATAATGAGGAGTTTCATAATTTGTACTGTTTACCATATGTGGCTGGAGCCGGGACAGCGTAGTCGGTATAGCGACTAGCTACGGGCTGGACGACCTAGCGGTCGGAGTTCGATTCCTGGCAAGGTGAAGAATATTCTCTTCTCCATGTCGTCCAGACCGGCTCTTGGGTCCACTCAACCGCCTATCCAGTGGGTACCGTGGTTCTTTCCCCGGAGGTAAAGCGGCCGAGACGTGAAGCTGACCACTCACCACCAGCTATTGCGGAGGTCAAGAAAATGTGGATCTATACATTCACACCCCTACACGCCTTCATGGCGTAATGCTTAATTAGTTAAGCACAGGGACAACTTTACCTTTTTTTTTTCCTTGGCACTACAGCCCCAGTGGGCCTAGGCCTACCTCCATGAACTTCTCCGTTCACTTAGGTTTTTCTAGATCTTACACATTCGGTAGGACTCCTTGGGCGGGTGATCAGCTCGTGTACACAAACACAGAAAAACGCGCACACACACAAACTTAAAATCCATGCTTTGAGTGGGATTCGAACCCATGATCCGGTTTCCAAGCGAGCGAAGACTACCGTGACCGGCCAACTTTACCTTTACCAGATATGATTAAGATGATCAGATGAAGGAAAATGGGATGGGCGAGGGATGTAGCAAGCATGTGAGAGATAAGAAATACATAGGGCACTGTGGTCGGGAAGCCTGGAGGGGAGGGATCATTTTGAAGCCCTAGGCATGGATGAGAGGATAGTACTAAAAGGAAACTTATATAATAGGTTGGGTGTAGGGGGTATGGATGGGATTGATCAGGCTCAGGATAGGGATACCTAGTGGGCTTTTGTGAACATTTGTTCTGCAAAACACGGGAAGTTTCTTGACTAGTAGAGGAACTCGTAGGTTGTGAAGGAAGACTGCTTCGTGGAGCTTGCTTAATACATCTGAAGAAGAAAATATGAGTGACGTGTTTCCTTGGTCGAGCTAGGCGTTCTCGCAGCAAGTGGCCAACTAGATATAGCATGTGGTCTGCAGAGGGAGGGGATGCAGATGACGCCGGCCACTGCCTCCGTTCCTCTGCTGGGTGTAGCAGCAGTAGTCTGCGGTCGCCCCTCATTCAACTTTTGCTCGGATTAAGTACGCGAGTCTCCGGCATTTCCAGCTGCAATAGTCGTCGGGTGCGGTCACGTCGAATTACAGTTCCATTATCTGTTGCAGCGAACGGCCCGTTCCGTGGGTGGTAGGCATTCGTCACGATTTATCGGCGATTTGAACCAGCTGCCAGGGTACCGAGATGACAGAAAACGGGAGAAAAATTAGTACGGCAGGAAGAAAAATGAGCGTGGGATGCGAAGGAGAAAAGGTAAGCACCTTTACTGTAACGCATGTATTTTGCAGGAATGCCAACATTAGATATGTATGTCGACAAGCCGTTATAAACATGAATGTGCTACGAATTTGGAGCCACTACTCAGTACGGGTGCTCACAAATATTCAGTTTTGGTTTGGAGTTATTTAATGACGCTTTTTAGCTGCGAATGTTATGTAGAGTCGGAGAATATGATGACTAAATAATGAATAGGATAGGATGCGGAAGGAACCGATTGTGGCTTATTTTAAAGTACTGGAAATACAGTGACACGCGGTAGCGTAGTTGGTTGAGGCACTATGCTACAAGCCGGAAGGTCGCGGAATCGAATCCCGATGAGGTCATTGGATTTTTTCAATTTACCTAATCCTTCCAGCCGCACTATGGCCCTGGGGTCGACTCAGCCACTAACAGAAATGACTACTAGGAATATTCTTGGAATGTTCTTGGGGATAAAGCGCGCCCGGCGCGTAAGGCTGACAACCTTGTCGCCATCTATGAGCCGACTGTCTACAAAATGTGGGAACCTCAACGTCTCACAACCTTACGGGCCTCCACGCCCTGTTACAGGGATACCTTTACTTTTTACTTTTACCGGAAATACCCTGCCGTTAATCTGGATTGCCTAAAAAAAACCGCGAAGACGCTAATTCAGGATAGCGGTCTAACTGACACAATTACATGGAGTTGAGTCCTTCAGAATCCAGCAGTCACTAAGATGGCAGAGCAATGCCCAGGCCGGAAATATTACAGTGTTCGTTAAAACCCAACACTGGGTCCATCCTGAGCCACGTGAAATCATCGTGGTTCACGCATTCTATTTTGGAAGGATCCGCTTAGTGTGAAGGCTTCCGTTCAGGTTGTTCGACTGAAATTTTTACAAAGCGAGATTATAGCCGTGCCCCGCTGGAAACAAATCTAGACCATTAACGCAGCATCTAACAAATCATGCCCTTTGAAGAACTGTGAGCTTCAGTGTGATCTGCCATTGAATTCTTTCCAACCATGACATGTGGTTCCCAGTGATGGACGGTGCTGCTGGAGCTACGAGGAAGGGGTGGCCAAAATAAATTCCATTCTTCACACAGCATTGAACAGAATGGCCTGAAATGCTCCCACACTCGCTCCTACGTACCTTCATACAAAAAATGGGGGAAAACACACCACACACGTAAAACAACTAAGAAATCAACGTACGCAGGAGTCTAGTAGTTACCACTTGGGCCTCGCATTTGGGAGATCGCCGAATCTGAACCTATGACCGTAGGTTGATCTACTTTCAAGTGTTTCGTGGATTTCCTCAGTCTGCTCAAGCAATTTTTGAAGCAATACCTCATTTACTGGTTTCGAGATTCTCGAAGCGGTGACTCTAAAGAGTTCTTATCTTCTGAGATAACGCCGTGTAGTCCGGCAAAAGTCAACCGACTTTTCGGAGACATCGCCTCCATCTTCAGTGTCGAAGAGTAAGCCAAACAAGAAACAAGTGTGAAACAGTTAGGAACAAGAGCCGTCTCACTCTTCAAGCCTGAAGATGGAGATTTATGTTCCTCCGAAACGTCAGTTGACTTTTACAACACTACATGTGATTCTGTCTCAGAATAACCTCATTATTTTATCTGTTCTAGATAAAGCATGACATTTGTATACAGCCGGAAGTGATACTTTGTAGCGGTCATTAATACTGTGAATAAGATATGGAGACAAGGATTTTCGAAAGGAACTCTTATATTTACTTATTACACGGATTCCAGCCTTACAGTCCTATTACTATTATTATAGCTATTGTGTTTTGTTATTGCGAAGAGTTTAAATGCAGATTCTCCCTACATTTAATTTGGTTGAATGTGACCTCAAAGATTAACATCACCGTTATGAATGCAGTTGTTAACTTGCGAGCGTTATTTCATACATAATGTGTAGATGTAGTCATGAGCTACCTGAGCACCAAACTTCACGGTTGGTTCATTAGTTACCGCTAGCAAACCTACAGCTTTATAAAGGGAAGTTCTGAAGTTTTGCATGGCGGCCATATTGCTATTTTACATTATCTAAAGACTGAAGATTTTTCAAAACTCTTGTTACCAGACATCATATCAGGACCGTGTATTATGTGAACCTAATGTAGCTTCCACCTCACAAGTTTGCCGTATTATTATTGATAATAAGAAACTAACAAATGTGACGCTGGGTTTGACGCCCAATGGCATTACGTTCATGAAAGAACTGTTCATACCAAGGTTCGTGAAAATCATTCGCCTGGTTCAGAAGTTTAAAGGGGGCCCACAAGACACAATTAGGCAGTATATTGATGCCGAACAGGGTCTAGCGGTAGTACTTGGCAGGTGTTCGGATCTAATCCCGCCTGGGGCACCGTCTATTCCGAGTGAGGTGTCTGCAAGGTAAAGTTGTCCCTCTGCTCAACTAATTAAGCACTACCTCATGAAGGCATATGGGGGAGTAGACATATAGATCCACATTTTCTTGACGTCAACACTAGCTGGAGGTGAATGGTCAGCTCACGCTCCTGCCGCTACACCCCCGGGGAAAGAGCTCCCGGTACCCGTTGTGTAGGAGGCTTGGTGGGCCCCAGAGCCGGTCTTGACGACGTGGAGGAGCGAACATTCTTGACCCTACCAGGACTCGAACTCCAGCCCGTAGCCAGTCGCTATCCCGGCTCCTGAGGTGACTATAGATTTTGTGAGTTCCTTCATGTAAATGTCTGCAGAGCATCCCAATTAGACCATGGCCGCATGCATCTGAATCCGTTTAAATCATCCGGCTGTATATAGTATCGGAACTCATAGCATGATTAAGTAACCATATAAATAAATAATAGCAAAATCTTGGTGATATCATAAGCTTCTACTTTTGTCTTTACCCTAAGAACGTAAAGGAGGCTAAAATCCCCCTCCTGATAATTCATTTTACATAGATGGAGCCGGGGAACTTTTCTTATTGTTTGTTTCTCGATGTTACATTCGTCGACCAGTGGGGGAACTACATGTGGCACCGAATGTCTTCTCCATATTTGTATCCGTTTAGTAAACATCGTAAACGAAGTATAGTAATTACAGAGCTCGGAATGTTTTTGTAGTTGTGCACAGTCTTTAAGTGAGGCAGCCTCAAACAGGGAAGTCGACCTTCATCTAGAACCATACGTGTTATGATCGTAACAGGGACTTTCATGCAATAACACTGAAGCAGGGTACTTCATAATCTAGTTCGAATATGTGACGATTCCATCCTAGTTACGTAACTCTCTCCTAGCACCCTGATTATTGCCAACCAATAGCTTTATTTTCGTAGGATTTTAGATTCTCACAGTGGTTGTTAAGAAAAGTTCTATCTACTGGGTTATAACGTCATGCAGTCCGTTGAAAGTCAGTCGACGTTTCGGAGGAACATATCGCCTACATCTTCAGGGTCTTCGACTACATGGCGTTATATCCCTGAAGACAGAACTCTTCAGCTTTATTTTCGTCTATTTGTGATTTATTTCTCGACACTGTTAAGTAGCTCAAACTTATATTCGTACAGTGATAAGATGGTTAGTGAATAATGAACAGGAGAGGATAGGGAAGGGACCAGTCCTGTTCTAATTTGGGGTACTAAGTAAAAACGTAAGTAAAGGTATCCCTGTAACAGGCCGTGGAGGTCCATAGGTTGTGAGATGTTGAGGTTCCCACATTTTCTAGACAGTCGACTCATAGATGGCGGTAAGGTTGTCAGCCTTACGCGCCGGCCGCCCTTAACCCCCAAGAACATTCCTGGTACTCATTTATGTTAGAGGCTGAGTCGACCCCAGGACCATAGTGCGGCTGGAAGGATTAGGTCAATTGAAAAAATCCAGTGACCACATCGGGACTTTCCGACTTGTAGCAGAGCGCCTCAACCAACTACGCTACCGCGTGCCCCCATGCTTGGTCCGATAGGTTTAGATAATGGGACTTGAATAATTTGCTTCCCGGAAGTTGAGGTACGCTGATGACTCACAAAACTCTGGTAGGAGAATGTGTTTGTTATTCCAGTAGAATCCGAAGGGACCTTCACGCTACTCCTTCAGTGCAGTTACTTCCAAGAATGCATAGTAGATGCCTCGTATGTTTATGTCGAGAATCACAAACAAGACGTTCTGTTACAGTCATAGCACACAACGCTCTCATTGAGCCGTTCACTTTTTCAGTTTAATTTCTTACTAAAATAAACTTTTCTGTACATGTATTACGTCATTTGAGCTTAAAAAATTCCCGCTTGTAACAGGAATTCTGTAACTTCGCGTAAAGCTGTAAAATTATTATTTTGTGCCTTCTCCCGCATCTGAGTTTATTTAAAACTACAAATTTTCGGAAATTGTTTTCTATTTCCACCTTCATAGGAACGGGACACAATGTAAAACATAGGCTGCTCTCAAACCATGAACCGTGGACTGTGGTTTGGGAGTGTCCTTATCAAGTGCCAGAAAAGTAGGTATTCTGTATCCTTTGCACATGAAGATGGAAACAGAACTAATTTCCACCTGATAGGCCTGTATAGAAGTAACGCTCTAGACTTTTATTCCGGGGGGGCGGGGATTGTAGGGATACCGGGTGTAGTGACTGAGGATGTCCGTGGCTTTCCTCAGTCCCCCTAGCAAACTTTAGGATAGTACCTCGATTAGTCTACGACCGCTTCTTTTTAGATTCTTGCCAGTTCATCATTCGTTAGCCATCACATCATGTGATGTTCTGTAGTCTCGATATTGGAAGCATCGTCAAGTAACGTACGAGGGAATATGAACTCGTTTCCGAAACATACGACTGTTAATAATTTCAACTATTTACAAAGACCAGAATAACAGTTTTAAATAAGGAAACTCACTCTTCATGTATGCAATATTTCAGGAAGCTCAGTATGGAATAAAAGTGTGTAAACAAAAAGCAATAAACATAGACCAAATTAAGTTGGGTTACTTCCTCGCTCACTGTTTCCGTTTCCATTCAACTTTTCCGGATTTA